AAAATAAGCCTCAGGGAATCATGGGGGTTAAAGTGAAACCTGCCGGAACTTTAAACAGTTTAATTCCTTGGTTCATTGAAGAAACCCATTAAAGGAAATTAATATTAAATTCAATCCTTTACCAAGATGGATTTCAGTTTGATTCCATTTATTGCGTTTTAAGAATAATTTGTTTCAGGAATCAACTACAAGATATAATTAAATTTTTCTAAACCTAGATTTGAATCATAGATATTCGAAGTAATCATTAATTCAATGTAATTTTATTAATTTAATTTTTAGTCCCTGGTAAAACAGTTCCAATCAAGTAGTCAAATCAGCTAGATTCGATTAGATTGAAAATTGAAATAAATGATGTTATCAATAAAAATAACAAAGAATTTTACAAATTAATTATTTTAATTCTTCAATTAAATTAATTCTTTATTAATATCATAAGTTTAATCATCCTTAAGAAATTTAAATAAGTAACCCTTAGTATTAGTAAGTTATTACTGAATCAGGATGTTATCTATTTATAGAATACTCTAAGTATTTCTTTTTCGTTGTTAAAATACTAGCTAATTACTCCACAGTATGTGTTTGCTTAATTCATGCTTTATTTACTCTTTCTTATAATATTATATTCATTCACTAAAAAATTCCAAAAATAAACAATAATAATTAATGTATTTGATTAATACAAAACATTTAATCCAGAAGCAGAGGTTACAGAAACCACTTTAATGTTTCAACACAGCTTTTAGTTCCTACAGAAGGCATTCATTAAATCGATTACTTTCTCTGATATTAAAAGTATAAACTGAAAAATTTATCAAACTTCAGCAATAAATAATTTCATACCAGATTAACAATTCAAGAATTCTAGACCTGTTTAATCTAATGGATTGACTAACAACTTTCTGGGGTTGGTTACCCCCCCTAAACTGAGAGAGTTATAACAATTCTCTATTTTATATCTCTCTCGTTTATACTAGGTACGGTTGGGGTTAAGGTAAACGGTTCCCGAAAGTTGCGTCGGGTGAAAACCCGATTTTCGCAACATGGTCCTATTAAAACGTAAGTTTTAAGAGGACCAGTTGCGAAAGTGAGGGTTTGAGATTAAAGACAAATAGTTGAAAGGAAAAATCTTACAAAATTAGTTCATAGGAGGTCTTTCACCGCCCGGGCTACGCTCAAGACATTCCTGTC